GGCCAAACAGCCTCATCAGCACACCACTAGCCACCAAATAAGATTTTGGCTTGGATAGGATTTTAGTTTTTGTTTTAGACAAATGCCTCAGTAGGAATGGTCTTCCTCCCAGGCTGCCCATTGCAACATTGCCTGTGATGTCCTTGAGGGAAAATCTTCTGAGGACATCTTCTTCGGAGCCCTGTTAATACCTTTTCCCAAAAGGAATTAGCAAAATGGGGGAAAATTGACCCTTGGCCACCAGAGCCTTCAAGTATGGGCTCCCCATCACCCTTTGCTCTCCTTGTCCCTGGGGAAATGGGCCCAGCAGTGCTTCCCTCGGGTGTTGGGAACGTTTCCACAGATGACAAAGCTATTTTGCTCTGCCTTCCCTCTTGCCTCTGAAAAGTGCTGGCAACCCTAAGCCCAGTAGCCAAGGAGTGTGGTTCTAACAAAGGTCAACGACCAGGAGAGTTGCTTCATGATTTCGGGCCTCAAGGCTTCATGACAGTAAGCTGTACCCGCCACACTTCTGAGAACTCAAAACCTCTGGACGCCTAAGAAAGATGCCAGCAGGAGACCAGGAGCATCCCTCTAATTGCCCGTCTACAGACCTTTGGAGCTATGAGCACAGAAAAAGGAGCTCAGAACATATAAACTGAAAAACAGCCTCAAGAAATCTACACTCTAACAGGGAAACAAAATAAATCCACGTCCTCTCTGGAAACACAGCAGGACCACGGTGATCATGACAAAAGGTGCATGAAGAGGAGGAGGTGAGAGGAGTTAAGAGGCTGGCCCAGAGAAGAGGGGAGGTAATTGAGGAACGGGCACAGGTGGCGGCAAGCTCTTATGCCGAGAAGGGTAAAGGATGGGGAGCCAAGGCAGGTCGCAAAGGGACGTTGTCTCCTGGACACAGAGCAGGCTGGGTGCAGGCTCGCAGAGTGGGACTGGAAGAACCAAGAGAGGAGGGAGAAGCCTCTGCGGCTGCAACAGAGGTGACACTTGGCAAGGCAACCGTGCAGACAGTGGGGAGGAGTTCTGCAGGGGCTTAGTTACCCCGAGGAAGAGCAACAGGTGCTCCTCAGCCTTCAGGCAAACACAGGCAACTCAGCGCACAGAAATCCTGAGAAGCAAGTTGTGTGTGTGTACAGCACAGTGCAGCTCTCTAACCCCAACGCTCCCGCGCATCAAAGGCTCCTTCAGATTGGGTGAGGACAAGACCTAGGCGGCATCCACACAAAACTGCCAGAGGACCAGGCAGTCACCTAGCGGCTGACCCAGGCAGGAGACCCCAGGGAGAACCCCTGGGGACTGTCTGTAACCCAGTCCTGCGAAGTCCCTGCTCCTTTTCTGCTGAGCGACAACACGCGACCAGGCAGCAAAGCACACTCAGCGGAGGAAAGAGCTTCCTAGCTTCCAGCGCAGCTCCAGCCCAGCCCGGCCGGCCCTGGGTGTGAGGAAGCCTGGGTGGAACAAAGGTGAAAGGTCGTGAGAGGGGCAGGGGAACTCTAAACACCTGTGGAGGGGAAGGGGGGTCACAGACGTCCCCACACCCCCTCTCTGAGACAGTTCTAGAACTGACCAGTCTCTGAGAAAAACTTGCAACCAGCCTAACTCAGGCTGGTTCCCGATAGAGCTGCTCAGGCTTATTTGAGGGCTACGGGCTCGCAGCATGAGATCCATTAGGTGACCGAGTCAAGCTAGGTCTGAGTGTGTGTCTCAGGAAACATTTGGAGACTATGTAGAAGCAAGTCAGAGGGCACAGTGACCCAGAACACGAGCCCATTGTTAGGCAGGCACACCTGGACATTTCCTGAGTGAGCAGTCCAGGGCCTGCTCCAGAGATCCTTCACCTTCTAACACAAAGGACGCAAGTGGTAGGAGCAGACACAGCTGCTCCTGGCGGCCTCACTTTGTGTCCGCAGGGAAGCCCTCGCCCCCCCCGACATCCCTGCAGGAGGACAGAGCTGACGTGCAGGGAGCAGATTGCTGCTGAAAGATTTTCCACCACCAGTGACCACCCCCCTGAAAGACGCAGACTTGTTTCCAGGGCAGGAGAGAAGGCAAGCTAATGAGAAAGGCCCTCCGCAGGGCACCCAGCCCCTGGGCCTGGCTCTCAGTGTGGCTCCTGACCAGCTTCGTGATCCAGGGAAAGACACTTAACCTCTCTCTGATTAATGGGCTTCCTGTAAAACTGGAAGAAACAGCTCATTTCATAGCCTGAGGGGGCGGCATCAGCTAAAAGTGCTCCAATCCTCACAGAGGAGAGATGTTGCAAAAGAGAGGAGTGCCAGAGCCTCCGTGTGGTCAGCTTCATTATGTGGTCAGTCGGCCTCGGCCCTCTCCCTTCTTCTGGAAAACTTCAAGCAGCAGCAGGTGAGCAGATCCTAAAATAAGACCCTGACTGCTCAAGGGTCACCATCCTGAATGTCAGAGAATGCTTTTGTTTAGCAAGGCCCACAAAGGTGGATGGCCACAGGTGAAGGACAGTCCCAAGGCCTCCAAGAAAGAGGCTAAGTGAGTGAGGAAACAGCGCGCCATGGAGAGAAACCCTGGGCGTCGGATCACTGGGGAACAGAGCGACCTCCTAGTCACCACAATCCACAGAAAACGTGCAGAGGCGGTTTCTGGATGCCTGTCCTGAGTCTCCAGAACTAGAGGGAAAGGAAAAGATGGAGGTGGAGGGAGAGCAGGTCTTGGCTCTGATTAACGCCCACTGCATGCAAAAGGCCCAGCCCTGACCCTTCTGTAAGTCTCAGGGCAAAGCTACACAGAGCTGAGGCCGGAGGACAGGCCCAGGGCATGTAAGCGGAGGTGACCTTGGGCTTGGGGCTTTCAAAACCAGGGAAAAGATTATTCAAGGTCTTAAATCCTCCACTGAAATACCTTCAACTCCTAGAAACAATGCCAAAGATGACAGACCAAAACCTCAGGGCTGGTCAGGGCTGGGAGTCAGAGACGGCCTGGAACCCGGGCTCAGGAAATCCACACGTGCATGTGCATGTGTATGTGCGCACGCATGCGGGCACATGTATCTTCGAGATGATAGTCACCATCAGACACCTCAGAAAAAGACAATATTCTTGAGAGCCCAGGGCAAGAGATGGAAATCCATCACAGGAAAGCAGCATCCGAATGAAAGGCCTTTCTAGGGCAGATGAACAGGACAGAAGGGTTCCTCAGGAGTGAAACTAAATTGGCACAGAAACACCTGCTTACTTTGGCCACTTCGTACACTCTTTGGCTCATTGTGACGCCACCTGGCAGGCAGGTCATAAAACTGTACGTGGGGCGGGCTACAGGTGAAGGAGACAGCTTTCTACATGCGCTCAGGAAATCTCCACAGACGGCTGGGTGTGGTCTGCACAAACTGGTTCTTGGAGGCGAGTCCTTGCCTCCTTTGTTCACAAGGTTAACAAAAAGACTGCATTCTCAGTGCGGATCTCAAAGGCAAAAGGAACAAAGACACTGCCTTGGCAAAGTCAAAGCTGCAGTCACTTTGACTGTCTGTGTTAACGAAGGGGAAACAGGCAGCCGCATTATTAAAACCACGCAGGCCATTCCTGTTTAACTTTGAAAAGAATTGTATGATTTGTTTTTACAGACCTAGTAACAGGTTCTACTTCCTAGCTGAGGCCATTGTAAGAGTCAGTTTATATCACACTAGCCCACAACTGGGCAGAGTGACTGGACTTGATCATTGACAGTCCACATGCACCAGAGGGGCCTCTGCCCTGGAGGACGCCTCAAGCAAACGTGCGAGGGAAATGTGACGAAGACTAGCCGTAGGAGGAGGCCTCGGGGCCAGTCCACAAGACCATCAGACAAGAAACCGGGGCCCAGTTCTCACTTTAGGAACTCGGGCGCCCACCTCTTTCCTGGTCTTATTAAAAGTGGGACAGCATTTTAAATTTAAAATCACAGAGCACATTTAGCCAAGTAGTTCTCAAATTTTCTTTTATTAAAAGTTACAGAGCCCATCATCCAAATGGCTACTTAATAAAAAACAAACAAAACCAGTAACAATGGTTACCTATAGGGATGGGAGTTTGGAGGGGGTCCCAGGGGTGGGGGCAAGACTTCTTTCTATATAGTTTGAGTTTTCAAACATATAAATTCATTCTCTCTTCAAAAAAGTGAAAAGATTTTTAAAGCTGGAAGCCCACAGTGTACAAAGGCTGACAGTGGAGCTGTGGGGGGAGAAGGCGGCGGGAGTGGTGATGGGCAGAACCCAGCTACGCCGCTCCTCCCTCACCCTAAACCTTCTCAGTGCTGCTTCCTTTGGCTCTCCGCATTTGGACACCAACGGCTTGGCCCCATCTTTCATTTTAACAAATAGAAATGGCCAGCAATAGGATATATTGGAGTATATGAGGAAGCCATTTGGTGTAAACCTAATTCGGCCTGATTTTGTTTTTCCCAAAAGGGCCTGACCCTGGCCATTGAGCACGCATTGCATATCTGCTTTAAACATTTCCTATGGTCAGAACAAAGGCCCTTAAGATAAAGGTGCAACTTTCCCCCACATTGGCATTTCCTTAAGGATAAGCATCTTTCCTTAGACTAAGAACTGACTGCTGTGCTCACCTGTGACCACCCAGCTCACCTGTGACCACCCAGCTCAAGAGAGCAGACCTGCCACCCTGCTGTGTTCACCATGAGAGCAGACCTACCTGCTGTTTCCATCAATCACTGTGCCGACAGAGCAGTCTTGTGATATTGTGAAAAGGACATTTCAATCATATGTGAAACACCCTTTTTGGGCGTATATAACCACTCTGTATACCCTACTTCTTTGGTGCCCTTCCTTCCTTCGGGAAGAAAGGCCCCGGGCCATGGTCCTCACATTTTAGCTCAGAATAAACTCACTCAAATTTTCATTTATAGATTAGTTATGGATTATTTTCGTTGACAATTTTCTAGCTGGGGAAATTAAAGTGCAGGGAGCCCGGCTCTCTCTCCATAGGACATATTCAGGAAGAGCTTAATACCCTCCCCAGATGAATTAATACACCAAATCCTTTTGAAAGATTTATTTTTAATTAAAAAATAAAAGTTATCTTAACATATCTGCATGGCAGCTTCAGGGATGGCAACTTAATGAAGCAAGAAAAACGAGGCTTATCAGTTCTTGGGTCACCTGACCATCTTATAATGGGGACAAAGGCACACGTCTTCAAACAAACCAACCTTATTCAGAAACAATTCTAATCACTCAGAACTCCCTTCTCCCAACTCCTTTTTGCCCACCCTCACCCCCCCCCCAACAAAACAACAACCAAAAACATTAAATTCTCTTTTAAAACTATAGAAATAAGTGCTGAGTCAGCAAGGAACCTGGGCGTGCTGCCCAAGCTGCTCTGCCTCTCTCTGCTTTGAGGACTGGTGGCCCAGAGGCTGGCAGGGAGAGAGCCAGAGTGATCCTCCACCGCACCACGGTGGGCCTTGTGACATGGACGGGCTTCTTGTACCCAGCCCCGCAGCCATCACCCCAGCTGGGGCAGGCAATTCCAAGGCACTGTCTCCCTTCCTCGAGGGCATCCCGTGGCTAAAGCAGCCTTTCAGGAAGAGAAAGGCCTAAGGCAGGCAAGTCTTCCTCAAATGCTTGTGAGGAAAAGGCCAGTGAGACCTGTGGGAGGCAGGGGAGCGGCGGATCTCTTCTCTCCCAGTTGAGCAGGCTTTGGGAAGCTTCTCTCTCCCTATTCTCCCTGCCTTCTCTCTTTCCCTCCTTCCCAGTCTCCCCCTTCCCCCAAAAGAGTTGTATTTTAGCTTGATGGCGGGGGTTCCGTAGAGGCTACTGGCAACTCCTGGGGCTGGCCTGGGGGCTCTGCTGCCTCTAAGGGGACGTGGCATGCTTTTGGTTCCTGTGTGTCACAGAGCTCCTCTCCCTGGAAGGGCTCCAGGTGCTCCTGCCTCTGGGCCTGGCTGTTCATCTTCTCTTCAGCTTCAATCTCTTCCGATGTGGGGATGGAGTTCTTCTTGGGACGACCTTTGGGTTTTGTGGGCGCTTCCTGTCCACCTTTAAGAACCTATGTGGGGAAAAAAACGGTCATTAAATCTAGGAAATAACTCCCTCCCTCCACTTTGCTGCTCACACAGCATATAAGCCATTCTTTCCCAACAGCGAAGTCACGGGTTTTGGCGAAAAGTATTCCCGACCAGTCAGCTTCAGTCGACCAAGACGCTCTCATTCTTTGAAGGCTCAAAGCACTTTTAGTCCATATCACACACACTGTCAATAAATAAAATGATCATAAACACATAGAAAATCCAACTTCAACAATAAGGAAAGAAATGAAAATTCAAATATGAATGCGATATCCAGTTGACAAGTTAAAAGAAAAAGACAGTATTTGTAGCAAGCTGGAAAATAAGCACTCAGACTCTAGTGAGAAAACATAATTGGCAAAACCTTTTCAAAAGACAATCTGAGAATTCAAATCAAAAAGTCTTAAAATGTACATACTCTTCGACACAGAAATTCTACATAATTTAGCCTAAGGAAGTCATCATAGACTGAGACCATGGCTGATCTGCAAATGTGTTCGTCACAAAACTGGTTAAAACAGCAAACACTGGGGAAAAACACCCTAAAGTATCTGCCATATGATTGGGTAGATAATTATCACATATGCCAAAGAGAAAATACTTGATAACCATTGCAATTACTATAGAGGAGAATGTTTAATGACATAGGAACTATTATTAATGTGTTTTTGTGAAAAACAGGTTATAAACCAGCTTAATTCCATCTGGAGTCTAGACGACTAAACACAGCCCTGTTTGCAGTATCAGGATCTCGGATAAGTTCTAAGCATTTTTCCTTATGTTTTTTCTGTATTTTCTAATTTTTCAACAGTGATCATGTATGAGTATTTCTGTAATCAGAAAAAAAGATGCTACAAAACATATAGTCTTGTATTGTTCGAAGAAGCCGTAGAGCATAGGAGAAAGTGTTGCAGCTCGGAAAGCAGAGTAACTAGATTAAACCCTAACTCTGCTACCTATCAGCTTTGTCTTTGGGAGAGTCCTATAAAGACTCTGAGCCTCAGTTTCCTAATCTGTAAAATGGGGATAATAATACCTTAGCTCACCAACAGCTAATTTATATGAAAATTTATATGAAAGGGCCAGAACTGTTCCTGAATGGCAGATTTCTTCTACCCAGAACAAGCCTCCCAGCCCTCTCACCTGTTTACGTCAGCTTGGACAATGCTTCTCCCGGGAGCCTCCCCTGGTCGCCCAAGTCTAAGTTAATTGCCCTCCACACGTGCCCTGTGAGCACACTATCCTCTCTCCATCAGAGCACTTTTCATGGAAGGTCGTCACTGCACGTTTACATGCCTGTCCCTCCCACTCAGTCCCTGCACAGACCAGGCATTCACCAACCGTGAGCAAGCGACGTAACCTTTCTCAACATGCCTTTCCACAGAATTGAAGAAAGATATACAGCAAGCAAAATAATAGGACCCCAAGTGGCCTTTGCTGATTTCAAGGGCATTGCACATTTATTGTCCCACTTTGTGACTTAGACAAGAATCCCATGAGGTAGGCAGGGATAATTTTTAAAATATTTACACGTTGCTTTGCAATATAACAGACACTCCTCCATTGGCTCTGAACCCTGGCTTGGTGTACTTGTTGGTTTTCTGGGCAGCTGGTGAGAAGGGCTTCAGGACGACTCAGATTAGCACAGATAATTAAGAGTGGGATATATTTTTGCTGCTTACATACCTAGCTTAATATTATTTTCCCCATTTGAACACAAGCTCCTTGAAGGTAAATCCTGCATCTATCCCTTGCTTTTTTGCTCCAGTCATTTAACTTCCAACTAACTTTATATGCAGTTGCTAAACATTTATTGACTCCATCTCTTTCCTTTAAGAGCAACAGAGAACCTCCAGGAGCTAAAGTGTAAGAATGAATGAAATAATTCAATAAACCATAAGTTCTTTATTTAAACAACTTTATCAAGATAGAATTCACATACCATACATTTCATCCATTTATAGTGCACAATTTAGTGATTTTTAGTTATAGTCAGAGAATTGTGTAACTGTACCAGGATGCAATTTTTTTTTTAAAGATTTTATTTTTTCCTTTTTCTCCCCAAAATCCCCTGGTACATAGCTGTATATTTTCAGTTGTGGGTTCTTCTAGCTGTGGTATGTTGGAATGCAATTTTAGAAGATTTTCATCACCCCCAAAAAGAACCCTCATATCCATTAGCAGCTACTCCCCATTTCTCTCCTGCCCCCCAACTCTAGGCAGCCATTAATCTGCTTTCTGTCTCTACAGATTTGCCTATTCTGGACATGTCACATGAATGGAATCATACAATATGTCGTCTTTTGTGACTGGCTTCTTTCACTTAGCAGTGTTTTCAAGCTTCATCCATATTGTAGCATGTATCACTACTTCATTCCTTTTTATGGCCAAAATATCCATCATATGGATACGCCACATTCTTTTTATCCATTCATCACCTGATGGAGACTTAGGTTGCTTGTACCTTTTGGCTATTGTGAATAATGCTGCTATGAACATGGGTATGCAAATATTTGTTCAAGTCCCCGCTTCACTTCTTTAGGGTATATGCCCAGAAGTGGAATTGCTGGGTCATATGGTAACTCCATGTTCAACATTTTGAGGAACTTCCAGACTGTTTGTTTGGGTTTTTTTGCTTGAGGAGGATCAGCTCTAAGCTAACATCTGTGCCAATCTTCCTCCACTGTATACGTGGGTCATTCCCTCAGCATGGCTGACGAGTGGTGTAGGTCTACTCCCGGGATCTGAACCTGCAAACCTCGGCTGTTGAAGCAGAGGGCACCAGACCTAACCCATATGCCATGGGGCTGGCCCCTCAGACTGTTTTTCAAAGCAGCTGCACCACGTTACATTGCAATCAGCAGTATATGAAGGTTCCAGTTCTTCACATCCTCACCAACACTTCTTATTATATCTTTTTGATTACAGCCATCCTAGTGGGTGTGAAGTGGTATCCCAATGTGTCTTTGATTTGTCCTTCCTGATGACTAATGAAGTTGAGCATCTTTTCATGCGCTTAGTAACCAGTTGTATATCTTCTTGGGGATATGTCTATTCAAATCCTTTGTACATTTTTAAATGTGGTTGTCTTTTTATTATTGAGTTGTAAGAGTTCTTTATAAATTCTGGATACAAGTCCCTTATCAAATATAAGATTTGCAAATATGTTCTCCATTCTGTGTGTTCTCTGTTCACTTTCTTTCATTCTTTCTTTCAGTTTTTGCTGAGGAAGATTTGCCCTGAGCTAATGTCTGTACCAATCTTCTTCTATTTTGTATGTGGGTCACTGCCACAGCATGGCTGCCAATGAGTGGTGTAGGTCTGCACCCAGGAACTGAACCTAGGCCACCAAAGCAGGGCACACTGAACTTCACCACTAGGCTATGGAGCCAGGCCCTTCTTTTCACTTTCTTGATGGTGTCCTTCACAGCACAAAAGTTTTTAATTTTGAGGAAGTCTAATTTATTTTTCCTTTTGTTGCTTGTGCTTTTGGTGTCATATCTAATGTTTTTGCCTAATCCGAGATCATGAATATTACTCTTACATTTTCTTCTATGAGTTTTATACTTTTAGCTTTTACATTAAGGTCTATGATTCATATTAATTTTTGTGTATGGTGTGAGGAAACCCTAAGTTTTCAATAAACACCTCCTTTTAGCTGGGAATCTGCTCAGCCACTGTGGTTTCAATTCAAAAGCTGACAACAGACATGAAGGGGACCTCAAACAAGGTATGGATGCTGACAGAATCTAGCTCTGGGGAGAAGACGTCCCTGTATTCCTTTTCACATAAATCAGTATATCTGATTTTGATTTCAGTCAAATTTTGAAATTTTGATTTCACTCAGGCTGTTGAAAGCACCCAAATGTGCCAAGATGGAATTTATATGTTGAAAGCAGCTCCACTCGGTATGAAAGAGGTTATACAAACTGAGTTGCCCCATGTAGTAATCAAGTTAGAAAAGGGCAGGTATAAGGAAGCCGCCTAATTGGCAAAAGAAAGTCCAGCCCAGCAATTAGAGAACACCACCCACACAGCTTGGATAGACCCCACCTGGCTGTTTTCCTACAGCAGGAAAAAAACTCAAAACAATCAGACCATTTTCTAAATGGAATAAAACATTCCAGCCAAGCAATAATTAGGAGATAACTACACTCTTGGCTGCGTTCCGCACTCGACCCCTGGCCCCTGCCTTCCAGCACACCTGAGACATGCAATTATCTCACAGCTACCCCACACCAGGAGCTGCCCATTTGCATGCACCCTGTGGCCCTTCTCCCGGGACCCCTCCTCCTCAATTATTCCTAGGGCCAACTTAGTCCCCTTGGTCCTGGGAGGCCAGACAACCCATTGCATGCAAGGTCACATGCCTCTTGGAAAAACAGCCAGCACACCGTCGACTTTTATTAGCCATGCCTGCTGGCAGCCCTCTTCCAAACTCTCAAACTAGATACTCCAGTGTCCTACTGCTGAGGACGTCAGGACGAGGCCTCTGCTTCCTTCCCGAGCTGCTCAGGAGGACAGGCAGTTAGACTGGAGAGCCCGGCCCGTCAGCGCACAGAGGAACATTCTGCCTCCCCCATTTTTTCAGAGAGGAAAATGAGCAGGCAGAAGTGGTCCGTCCTGGTCATGAGCAAGCCAAGGGCAGAGCTGGGCTTTAACACAAAATCCCTGACCGTTCAAATCTAACACTTCCCAGCATGCCATTGTGCATCGTGTGCGAGGGGTTCGTAAAATGTGCTGCTTTATTTCTGATTCCAATATTTATCTGCAATTACCCAGTCTCCCAGCAAACCCTACGTCATAGACTCATTAACTGGAGTGTTTTTTACCCTTTTTCTCTATCTTTATCTGCCGCTCTGTGGAACAATGAGCGCCATGCCACTGACGGCCGCTTCCATGAAGCTGAGAAGCAAGTTTGGATTCGCCGGCATGAATCTCTTCCCAGCACACTGTTTGGCAGACTTTCTCCACCCGAAGATGGGATGTCCTTCTAGACCACAAGCCCAAATGCTAAGGCACTGACGGGGGAAGGCTGGCCAATGGGGAGCAAGGAGGGACAAACAGCCAGGACTGCTCTTAACCAGAGTCCCAAAAACCTGAAGAATTCATTTTCAGCTTCTCTCTCCTGGCCTCCGAAAGCCTGGATTCTCTAGAGACATGAATTTTGGGGATAGGTAAGTAATTAAAATAATAATAATAAGAAGAACAGCAGCTAGCATTGCTTGGCCCTATACCATGCGGCAGGCACTGTTCTAAGCTTTACAGGGATAAGCCCAGTTAATACCACAACCCTGTGAGGGATGTATCAGGCATGTATGATGTGGAAACAGGCACACTGAGGTTAAGTAACCTGCCCAAGGTTACACAGACTAGTAGCAATTTCACAGAATTGCTGATTATCTGGAGACTTTCAGTGTGAAAGACGATGGCGTGTGGTGTGTGACCCACCCAATTCTGTGACCTGGAGAGAAGGTGGTCTCCATGTGGACCCTCTCCCAGAACAGACCTGTATTTAGAGAGCTGAAAAAGACCTCTGGATAATGAGGCACTTTCAGCCCGCTGGACAATACTGTGGGTCCTACTGGAACGAAAGCCAAATAGAAATGGAATGGAGGGTGAGTGTCTCAACTAATGTGCAACATTAAATTTACCCAACCCGCTATAGGTTACAAATGCTGACAGGCAAAAACTAGTCAGAGATGCTATCTTGGTTTTGGCAGCGCTTTCCTTGGCAGCCGTGTGAATAACTCTGTGAATCAAGTGCTAATCTTTTTCCAGTTCCAATTAGGTTACTAGCCTTGAGACATCTTTATTACCCAATTATCTTTTTTTCTTCGTCCTCAGTACCTGAGGAGATAGCCTTCAAAGAGTAGTACCAGGGAAATACAGTGAAGCAATCAGGATCCCAGGAATGTCTTGCTGTGCTGGGGGAGGCAGAATTCAGATCCACAACTGAACAGCATGCTCACATTTTAGCTCCAGACATTCTGAAGCACTTCAAGCGCCCCAAGTACTTCTCTCCCTTCCTTCCACTGTGACATACTTCCCGTCTTCACTGGCACATTTCTACTCATCCACTGAAACCAGTTTAGACGGCACCTTTTCTGAGAATGGCTCCCTTCTCTATACTGATTCTGTGCCCTGTTGTTGCCCTGATCACTCTGTATAATGACTAGTTTAGAGGTCTGTCTCCCCCACTTGACTGAGTGCCTTTTTAAATTTTTATTTTTAATGGACAGGTTCATGTCTTGTCTTTGCATCTCCACCGCCCGGTGAAGGTAAGTGCCCAATCAATGACGGCTAACGTGAGCTGAAAGCCTGGCACTCTTGTTTCCTGAAGGGACCTGAATTTGGTTGGCTTGTGGAATGCTCTCTGAGGTTAAATCTGCTAAGTTACTTCTATTTTCTTTTATACGATGTTGATAACCATCAATAAGCAGTCCACCATTGTGCCAGCAGCACAGTGGCTGGTGAAAAACAAGTGACATCAGAGGCAAAGGCACACGCACCGCCCAGGCATTGGGCGGTGCTGACAGAGATGGCAGGCTGTCAATTCCTTAATCATCTGACTCACGAGAAGATTGCTGATAACCAATTTAAACAATGCCTCTGTCACTCAGGAGACATTGATCTCGATGATGATGACTGACGAGGAAGGAGGTGGGTGGTGGAACTTGCACAGAAAGCAATGAAGGGACTTGCCCAAAATCAGCCAGGGAGGGGCAAGCATGGGAATGTGGTCCAGCGTTTCTAACTCTCAAATCTGGTTCTTTTAGAGATCAACCCCCCAAAAGGTTTCCAGCGTAAGTTTCATGGGGGTCTTAGCATTCTAGAGGTTTTGGAGTGAGTATATGTGTAATTGAATCCCATCTACCCTTCAATTTCAACTACTCCCTGTAACCTTCCCTATTACGTCTCCCCTGAACTCTTATGGGGTTCCAAATCTATAAATCAATGATCAGGACTTAGTTATAATGTGCTCCCTACCTGCTTCCTGGGCCTTGATTCTCCAGCTAGATCATAAATTCCATGAAGGCAGGGTTCTATTTTATTTCATTACTTCCTACAGTGCCTAGGACAAGGCATAGCTCACAAGAGACACTAACTATATCCTGGTTGATTCATGCAGCATATGTGTGTTTGTATACGCAACTGGCATCTCCACCTCACTTCGAGGGCACTTCAGGAGCCAAGCCACCTCCACCTAAAAATCCTTCCATCTCAGGGTCAGATCACCCCAGAGGAAATGATGAGATTTGCCCACAAATTCCTTTCTGGGAATATAATAAATGCTGACTTGGGTTTTTTTCTAACTTTCCCACTAATATTCATCGGCAATTCACTTATTTATCTTTCTCACTGTTAGCAGGCAATAGCAAGAACTAAAGTTCTAAGAAAAAGATTATTGGACAAAAATACAAAATTGAGAAAATGTCTCAATATCTATTAAAAATTATCTACCAACTTTTTTTTTTTCTGAAAACTTAGTTCCATTTGGTAATTATGAAAAACTTCATATTCCAGCCCTTGAAATCACACCAAGAAATGTGGCTTGTGACCAGATGGGTTAGCAAATTAAAATGCCATCCAGGCAGGCCTGGCCCACCTGGTCCAAATGAGAGACGAGAGGATCAGGATGATTCAGTGGGGCTGTGCGAAGGGCCCACGTCAGAGGCTGTGGTGAGGCTGGTCTCTAAAGAACAGAGCAGGGCTCCCTCCCACCCTCATCCCGCCCCTCCTCTTTGTCTTTCTTGCCCCTTGTGGTTTACAAAACTGGAAATGAAACGCTTAACTACTTTGGAAAATTTAGATTTAACAGTACTTTTTATAAAAAAGGGGGGTGAACTATTACGAAGCTGAGTTCCTCAAAATGTAGAGATGTTTATTCTGGTTCTTTTTTTTAGAGATATTTATTCTAATAAGTTCCTTTAAAAACCAAGGATGGAACGGTCATGAGCCAGGCCCTAGAGCAGCGTTAGGGAGACTGCAGTCATTATACTACGTGCCTCAGAGGGACCGGGGTGCTTGCTGACACACACGTTCCCAGCCCCGTCCTGTGACAGAGAATTGGAATCCCGGGAGGGGCCCAGAGTTCTGCATCTTACCTGCTAGCCAGATTACTCTGATGCGCACGCAGTTTGAGAATCACTGCATTAGCGGACACACAGCTACAAGAACAGATGCGCCCTACATGCCATTATAAACAGAGGACTGACTTCTATTCTTAGCTGTCGTGGGAGGGGGAAGGAAGTGCTTTGAAAAGGCTAGCAGGCGGGATTAAAGCTAGCAACTGAGAAGCTTGTGGGCTTTCTTTTTCTTTTATTTCTAAGGAAACTGAAAAAGAATATCCTTCTGGTCAGGAAATCCAGGTCAGGAGGAACGGCTTATCCTTCTGCTCAGCCTCCCTCCCAGCCAGCATCTTAAGAGGCCTTCCAGTCTCTGGAGCCCAAACCACCACACGGTCCTTCCTGCCTTCTTCCCAGCCCTGTAAGAATTCTTTTGCCATCGTGATGGGCACGTGGATAGACTCACTCTCCTCTTTCTTACCATTTTCTTCCATTTCATCCTGCGGTTCTGATACCAAGTCTTCACCTGCAGTTGAGTGAGTCCCAGAGACTGGGCCAAGTCCAACCTAGAAGGCATGAGATACAGAGGAAGGATGAGGAGGAAGGGAAAGGGCAGGAGGGAGGGGTCCTGCTGACTAGCTCCAGGCACTGCTGCTACAGCTTGGGCCCCCCTCGTTAAACCAATTCTACCCCCAAGAGCTTTGCTTTCCTTCCAAGAATCCTATGGATGAAACTCTGGGAAGCTAAGAAACAGATGTGCACGCCCAAGGACTGTCTACATTGGACCTGTAAAGGATTTCTGAGCCTGCACTGCAAAATCCTTTTCCTGTCCTGACAGTCCTCACTCTGATCCTGTACAAAATGAAGACTCTGACCCAAAATCCAAGCTGAGAAGGACAAGCAAAGCCATATTTTGCTTACTGGAATCTCACTCATCACTCCAGATCCAGCTCAAGTCCCATTTCCTGCGGGTGAGCCTCTTGGGCTCCCCCAGCTCACAGAGATTGTCTCCTCACACCCTCCCACGGGTCAGCCATCACCCGGCTGGCTCCATGTTCTCAACTGGTCTCACTGCTTCACATGAGTTATTTATGCCTCCCTAACTCAAATGTAAGAGCAGAGTATGTCTTGTGCCTCTTTTATAATCACAAAAGTGCCTATCACGTTCTAAATCCAGAACGAGGACTAAAAAAACATTTTGATGGATTGACTCATTCACTGTCGCTGCCCTAAATTATTATAATGCTGGGTTCCAGAAGAAACATTAAATCTGGGGCCCCTCCTGCTTCCCATTCTACTGCTAACTATAGTTTTGCATTTCTCTGTAGCCTCTGAAAAGTCCTGAATGTCAAAGCCATTCCTGGCAAGTGTGCAGTTGGAGGTAATTCCAACAACACAGTAACCTTTTCCTGAGCAGCACAGCCTCCCAGGCTATGTGCTAGGTCCCTGATGGCTGCTCTCTTCTTTACGCCTTTCACAATGCTGTGAAGGAGGTGTAATTATTCCCATCTTACAGATGAGAGATCTGAAGGTCAGAGAAATTAGCTCTCTCAACAACCAAGGCCAAATCCTGTCTACTATGTGTTTTGGTAAATAAAGTTTTACCAAGACACACTCATTCGTTTACATACGTCCATGGTTGCTTTCATGCTACAACCTCAGAGTTGAGTAGTTGGGACCGAGAGCATACGGCCCACAAAGCATAAAAGGTTTACTGTCTGGCCCTGTGCAGAAAAACTTTGTTGACGCCTGGAGATGATCCTACAGTAAGAGGTGGAGCCAGGATTCAAATCCACTTACATCTGACTTGTTCGCCTCCCTCCTGTATAGGAGCTCACCTCCACCTACCACATTTTTGAACAAGTTAGATCTGTCCAAGGGAAGCTCCTGCTCAGGCTTTCATGGAGAAAATGCACGATGCTACATGACAAGGAGTAGCAAACAACCTGAGTGGAGCCTATGAAATGAGAAAGGGAACCAAGCTTCAACCTCAGTCTCAAGACTGTAAGTGTTAACCCATGTTGCCAAGAAGCCCAGGTCTACCTGAACACTAACTGAAGACCATCTCCTTGAGCCAACATCAGCTGCCTCCCTGTGGTTCCAACCCTGGGCACTGAAGCAGTGTGGACTTCTAAAGCAGCAACTTCGGACAAGCACCCTTGATACAGCTCGAGCAGTGACCACCACTGAAGGTCCCAGGTTTCCGAGGCTCGCAATCTGTGGATCTAAGGTCCAATATCTCACGCAAGCCTGCACAGTCACAAACCTGAGCCATGGGGACTCGCAGGTGCGAGTGCTCAGCTGCAACTTTCTCTACCTGACGAGAAACGAGCAACATCTCACCATCAGGAAGACCGATGGGTAGAGGCAATGAAGGTTCCAGGTGCAGCTGCCTAGCCCCCTGCTTTGATGAGAGTGCACAATTTAAATCTATAATCATAAAAATAGTCTTCCTTCAAGGGACTTCAGAACCTGTCTTAAATCTGCATTCACATATATCTGGTTGTCCAGTAAAAGGGCTACTGGGAGCTGACAGTTTTATTGAAAGTGATTCACAGACTGAAGCTAATAAATTCCCAGCGCCAATAGCACTTAGCTCTCCCCACTAACGAAGTACTTCTTCCCAAGCAGCCATTCATTAAGAACCAAGAACCCAGGGGGCTATCCCACAGACTTCTGGTCTCCCAGGTCTCCCTGGAGACAGGGCCTCCCCAGGGTCCCACTGTGCCTTCCAAGCCTGGTTCACCTGAGGCCATCAGGTGCATTAGTCAATGGAAGTTTCAGTTCACAGCTCTGCCACCGTGTTAGCAAACGGTGTGAGCTCACTTGGGAAAAATGCACCCTTGACTCACTCTGGCTACAGAAACACGCTTCACTGTCATCAGCTTTCTCTCATTACCTGCCACCGTTACAAATTCTCACTTCCCTGCATATTCGCTTAAATGGGGTCACCTAGGAAACTGGAGAAACAAACAAAGAGGAAAAGGGAGAGAGCTGTGGGAGGAGGGAGCGCTCATGGCCCTCGTCACGTACAGAGGTGAGGAACATCTGAGGAGGGCGGGTTAAGGTAGCAGCTTCATGCCAGCCAGATGGTGTCCTCCTCCCCAGCCAAGTGAATCAATCCTGTGTAGGTCACCTGAGAGGTGCCTGGGCAGGTAGCAGGAAGCACCAGGAGGTTTATTAGGAACTAGCATTTCTGTTAAAAAATTCTCTGACTTCTAGAAAATAAGCTTAAAATTTTGCCCATGCACGTTGAAGCTTTTTGATATATCACCACAAAATTCATAAATCATGCCCACTCCACCTGGTTGCCCAGGTACATGAGGTTCTCCATTACATGCTGAGGGCACCAAAATAGCCGTTTAATACCTAGAGATCTCATCTACTAATCCCCAATTCACAGACCTGTCTCCACTATCCACCCGAAGGCACCCCAAATGCTCAAAAAAGAACTCACTCTTTCCTCCCCAAACCCACTGCGTCCTCAGCCTTCCAACTTCAGTTAATGGCATCTTATTCACCTGGTGGCCCAATCCAGAACCACAGAATTCTCAGCTCTCTTCTCTCTTCCTCATGCCAATGTCAACTCTGTCCGTTCCATCTTCAAAACTGTTCTCCCATGAATTCTCTCCTCTCTATTCCCACTGTCACTATCTTAATTCAGGTCTTCAATGACTCCCGCTGGATTCTCTCCTAACTGGTTTTCCTGCTCCATTTCTTCCCTCTTTGATCAATCTTCTATGGTGCCACCAGGGCGAGGAAACTAAAATGTAAATTCTGGCCATGTTGCATCCAGCTCTTAATGGCTGCTGATGGGTGGCCTAAACAACAAAGTCCACATTCTTCAGCCAAGCATACAAGGCCCTTCCCACCTCTGCAGCCTCATCGCCCCCCACACTCCAATTCACGCCTGAAGCTGGAGGTGTCCTGACCACCTGCAGTTCCCTCCATATGCCCCGCGAGGATGCTTCTGTGCCTTTTGTATGCCATCCCCTCTGTGGAATGCCCTCTTCCTGCTGGAATCAAAGCTCTTCTTAAACACTTCCTCTTCTGAGAAACCTCCCCGTACCCCATCTGACACACTCAGCAATATCTTTGTGCTCCTACATCCCTCGGCAACACACCAGCCCAGTGCCCAGCTCCCTGCGCTGTCGCTATTGCAGTCGCCGCATTCCCCATGGTCTCCTGTAGAGCAGGACTCTTGTCTGTACTTTCCGGACCCATAATCCCTGCCACAGTGCCCGGCACGCAGAGCCCCTCAGCCAACAGCTGATGAGTGTTTAATTAATCAAATCAGCAAACAAATTCCCGTTTAGTCAGTGATTTGCAGGCTCCTCTCACTTAAATTTTTATCAAACAGCTAATAAAAAGTGGAAGAGATGTGTCTGAGTTTCCGTCCCTTCTTGTTTAATAGGGCCAGGGTCAAACCTGATGTAGACAAGGCAGTGAGCAAAAGAAGAGGAAAAGTACCTGCAAGACCCTCCTAATAAAGAGATCATACATTCCTCAGCCATCTCCAAAGCGAGTCTGAAGGAAGAAGGTAAGACACACGCTCTTGCATATTTTGCAGTTAAGATACTAAATTAAAGAAAGAGGGTCTTGAATTGAGGCCTGTGAGTAAAGCAGGGGTCACAGCCGCCCTCATCTGGATCTCAAAAGGGTTTAAAGAAGGGACTCTCATCCAGGTGCTCCTTGATCTCAGCCAAATGGTTCTGACTTGAGACCCATCAAATTCCCAGGACATCTGACAGCTCCTCAACCTGCTCAACCCAGCCCTTTCAGACTGAGCCGGCTGGGAGCTGGAGGGTGACGAGAAGACTGAGAAGATCGTGGGGCTCAACTCCAGACCTAGTCCCACTGCATCTGCTCCTAAGTGTAAGTGGCTTTAAAAACCAAACTCGTTTCCCAGCTGAGAGCCTGGGCAGCCATTTGCTGAACTTTACCTTGCTTGTTAGACTGGAGTAGTTAAATTAAATTAGGGAGAATCAGAGAGGAGTCTAAGCTCAGCAACAGGCAGGCTCCTGGAGCGCCATGCGATGAAGTGGTGAGGGCTGGGTTCTGTTACACCAAGGCTGAGATTACGTGGGCCAAGGGATAGATTCCTGCATCTCTCCCACTGTCCTGGTGGCTATACATCCCACAGCAAGAGCCAAAGGAATCTCTTCTGCCCAAGGGCCTCACCTGCGGACGGTTCCCTCCCCGTGTCCTCACCTGTCTGGGGTGGACAAGTACTTCTGCTTCTGGAACTTCTTCTCTAGGCCCATGAGCTGCAGCTCAGTGAAGATGGTGCGACTCCGGCGGGGTTTCTTCTGCCGGGGCGTGGGCTGCTCTGTCTCCGACTCGCTGCTGCCCGCAGCCTCGCCGCCCAGGGCCTCAGCAGAGGCAGCCTTGGTGGCCACTGGCTGACAGGACAATGCCTGGGCGATTCCCGGGGTGGCAGGGACCAGGTGGGAGATGACCGTGGGCTGTCGGGTGATCACTGAGAGGAGAGGATATGCCCGAAGGGAAGCGGGGCCTGGAAGACAAACAGGGAGGCGGGTCACACAAGGAGCAGGGGTGGAAGGAGGCTGGCGGCCCTCGGAGGACCTCTTTCTGAGACCTGTCTGACTGGCAGGGGCTCCTGATCTCAGGAGGTGCAACGCGAGGAAGGAGAATAAGAGGCAACTCAAGGCCTATAATGGCTGGGTGGGCAGGAAACAGGCAGACGTGCTCAGCCTGGTGTGGGAGAACATTCAAGTCCCCCACTGCCAAAGACAGGTTCCTGCAATTCCTCTGGCTGTAAGTGAATCTTTCCCCATCTCTCCCTTTTGAGCCCCTAAATTCTGGTTTCAGAGATATGGGTCAATGGGATTGATCAGATAAAAAAAGGTAGTCAGATAAAGCTAGTAACACATAAGAAATCCAAAATAGATTTGTAATATACAAAGTGCCTCAGAACCACCTATGATCTTCATAAAAATACATGGTTGCAACTATAAATTCTTCCTGAGAAGTCTATAGACCTTGAAATCATAACATTTTTCAGAACTGGAAGGATGCTTAAAGGTTATTTAATTCAGCACCCTCATGCCAGAGACAAGGAAACAGTCCCAGGACGGTTAAGGGACTTGCCTAAGATCACAGACTAGGAGCAAGCAGATTCAGGAGTCCGAGGAAGTTCTTCCGGCTTGAAGCCCAGGGCTCTTCTCACATCATGAGCCACATGAATACATCATGTAGAAGAGGGGGCAAAAAGATTTTAACCCACATGAAAACTCAGATCCAGTATGACTAGCTGCTCCAGCACTCTGTTAAAGAGGAATCTGAGGCTGGGCCAGAGCCTGGCTGAGGAAAGAGAGCTGTGGTAGATTAACAATGTCTGCCATGGCACGCAGAAGGGAAAGGGGTATGGTGGCATACACACTAGTTACGTGCCACTCCTGCTTGAAGAATTTCAAAGCAAGAGTACTTTTCTGTCTGAGAATCTGTTATGTCTTTAAAGTTCAAATAAAAGAGCTCTTCCCTTTCATTATTCAATAGTATCAGGTTTAAAATGTCATGATCATCATCTATGAAATCATTTTCTCTCTCTGGGCCTCAGTTTTGTCATTCATATAGTGAGTAAAATAGATAATTTTGAAGAATCCTTCAAACTCTAAAATACTGAGGCCACAAAAGTACCTCTCATCCCAAACCCATCTTGATATCGGATGGAAAGAGAGAAGACTCAAGGGCTGCCCTCTGGGACTCAGTCCAGCCCTGACAGCTCACTACAAGGGCGAGGCAACCAGCACTCACACCGGTTCTCGGTGAGAACCGACCAACATCAGAGAAGCCCCAGGTGCTACTTGTGTTCTAGCTCTCTCCTCTGGGTTGGCATTTCTCCTCTTATTCAGTCCCATACTTCTGTCATAGTTATTAATTAGAACAGGTAACTTCTCTCGTTCTTTGACTATACTTCTAGAAAAGCCCAGTAGAAACCACAAAGTTGCTAAATAATAAATCACCAAGTGCTATGACTTCCATGAACTCTCCAGCCAATGCTAATGCTTGAGGTTTTGTGTTGTGGATTCTTTTTATGAAAAAAAAAAAAAAAAAGATCTGGGAATGATATTTTATAGCAAGAAAACTTAGGACACCTGGGCCAGTGGTTCTGGCTCCCCCAGCAGACATTATGAAATGCTACTTCTTGAAAAAAAGTATCTGAAAGCTTCTCATACAGGCATAAGATATTTCTCATTTCACGTTGCTTTACTCCTTTAATTCTGCCATTTCTTTAAAAAAAAAAAAGTCTTTCTTTAGTCAGCAGGCTAACTTATACTCTAGAAACCAAGACACTTATCAATATAGGAAGTGACCAGTTACCTACCCATAAGTAAGGCTTTTAATCACCAGAGTTTGAGCTTTCTCTTTTGAAAGAGAGTCAAATATTCTTTTGCCTAACATTGAATAATATTTTGGAAGTGTGGTAACATCTAGTGTTGGCAAGGAGATGAGGAAATGGGTACTCATATATCATTGGTGAGAGTGTAAGACAGCATAATCTTTTTGAAGGACAAACTAAGCAGTATCTATGAAATTATTGACCAGCAATTCCACAATTCGAGACCCATTTGCCTATGTGCACAAAGATATATGTATAAGCATATTCACTGCAGATTTGTTTATAATAATGAAAAACAGGAAATAATCCATATACCTATCATAGGAAAAGGGTTAAATAAACTGTGGTTCATCTATAGGATAGACTACAGTGTAACTGCTAGTGAGAACTCTCTACATAAACTAATAGACAAACGACATATAAATTAACATGAAAAATATCTAAAATGTATTACTGAGAGAAAATTAAGGTATAGAACAATTTGCACTATCATAAAAAAATATGTGTGTCTGCATTTATAAACGCATTTCAAAAAGAAGTCCAGGAAGTTAGTCACCAAGCTATTAAGTGATTACCTCTGGAGGAGTGGGCGTGAAAAGGAACCTACATGTATTAATCTAATCCTGTGTTCAACCTTGCTATAAATGTTTATTGAGCATCTACTATGGGCTGTACTCTGCTCCAGAAGCTGGGAATACAGGACTGAATAATATGAAGTCCCACCTTCATGGAGCTTACATTTCAGTCAGGGAGGCAGACTGCAAACAAATAAGCAAATAAATATATGATGTCAGGTAGTGCTAAATTCTATGAAGAGAAATATAGCAGATTGTGAAGACGGGGCAGGTAAGGAGGAGGGCAGGTATTCAGACAGGGGAGTCAAGGGAAGGCCTCTACAGAAAGGGCGATGCTTCAGCAGGGAAGTGACTCAATGGAGAGGAAAGCTTTGAGAGGAGAAAGGAAGAGCACCCCAGGCAGAGAACCAGCTCATGCAAAGCCCTAAAGTGGGAATGAGCTTGTGCTCAAAGAATAGCAAAGAGGCAGGGTGAGCAGGGGGGAGTCACACTCTGCTGCAGTCAGATCATAGGGGGTCTCGGAGGCCAAAGCAAATAACTTGGATTTTATTCAGAATGTGATAAAACCCCTGACCAGACTCGAGCTGGGGAAGGATATGATCTGACCTATGTCTTTAAAATCCCTATGGTGACTGTGTGGAGGGCAGACTGCAGGACGTGCATGGAAGCAGAGAAATAAGTCAGGAAGTAAGGCAATATTCTAGACCAGAGGCAACCATGGCACAGGGGCAGAGAGGCAGCAGCCGCAGGAGCGAGAGGTGGTCAGGGGTTGGGGCGGACTTTACACCTAGGGTTCAAAGAACTTGTAAAGGACTGGATGTCGGGTCTGAGAGAAAGAGAGCTGCCATGTGATGCCTGGGTTTGGGGCCTTAGCAAGTAGAGGAATGACAATGTCATTTACTACAATGGGAAAGACTGGGCGCAGAGCAAGATTAGGTGGGAAAACCAAGATTTCTGTTCAGACATGGTGGATGTGTTGAAGAGGTATGGGATAGACCAGTCTGGAGTTCAAGATGAGGTTGGGTTGGAGACACAACCTTGACTCATGGAAGTACATGCGGCTTTAGACTACAGGATTGCAAGAGGTCACCCAGAGAGTGAGTGGAATAAAGAAAGAAACAGATCCAAGGACTGAGCCCTGGGGCACACTGACATCTACAGTCATAAAGAGGAGGGGAAGCCGAGAGGATGGGGAAGAGGGGATGGGATGGGGAAGGAGAGGAAACCACTCTCCCACGGCAGCCCAACACCTAGACAAAGCTTCCGTGGTACTTAACGTTTTACTACAAGCATGTATCATTTTTGTAATTTAAAAAGTAAGAGTTGGACTAAATAAGCTTTAAGTTTTGCTCTCATTCTAAAGTTTTAATATATGTTCAAATTTTCAGAAAAGAATTATGATTTATTGACCCTTGAACTCGTGAATAGTTAAAAATTCTTCTTAAAAAAACTGGGCAACCCAGAAATCCCAGCAATGCAATATCAAATATGTTTGGTTTTATGATGCTGCTAGTAAGACAAACACTGTGGGTGTTCTCCCGAGCAGAGGGGACTCTCTCTCAATCACCTCTGAACCAAAGGGTCTAAGGAATTTTCTCCCTTTGTGATAGAAGATGTTTGAGTGCTCATGCTAGATAGAATCATATTCTTTCTTTTAAAATAAAAACTGTTCAATATGGAGAAAGGTAGCCTTTTTAATAAGTGGTGCTTGAACAACTGGCTGGCCATATGCCAAAAAAAAAAAGAGAGAAGAACCTGACCTATGCCTCATAAACTTATTTAAAAAATCAAGTCAAAATGGATCATAGATCCAAATGTAAACATAACCTATGAATTTTTAAAGAAAACACAGGAGAAAATCTTTGGGTTAGGCAGAGAATTCTTAGCTATGACACCAAAAGCATGACACATAAAAGAACGAGGTGAAAAACAGGTCTTCATCAAAATTAACAACTTTTGCTCTGCAAAAGATACTTTTAAGGGGCTGGCCCCATGGCCGAGTGGTAAAGGTCACGCACTCTGCTTCAGGGTTTCACCAGTTTGGATCCTGGGCGTGGACATGGCACCGCTCATTGTGCCATGCTGAGGCAGTGTCCCACATAGCACAGCCAGAGGGACCTACAACTAGACTATACAACTGTGTACTGGGGGGCTTTGGGGAGAAGAAGAAGGAGAAGAAGAAAGAAGACTGGCAACAGATGTTAGCTCAGGTGCCAATCTTTAAAAAAAAAGATACTTTTAAGAAAATGAAAAGATAAGCTACAGGATGGAAGAAAATATTTGCAAATTGCACACCAGACAAATGATTTGTATCCAGAATACATAAAGAACTCTCAATGTTCAACAATTAAAAAATAACAATAAAAAATGAGCAAGGGGGCTGGCCCCGTAGCTGAATGGTTAAGTTCGCGTGCTCTGCTTCAGCACGGACATGGCACCGCTCATCAAGCCATGCTGAGGAGGCATCCCACATGCCACAACTAGAAGGACCCACAACTAAAAATGCACAACTATGTACTGGGGGGCTTTCGGGAGAAAAAGGAAAAATAAAGTCTTTTAAAAAAAAAATTGAGCAAA